ATAAATTAATTATCCTTATCTTTCTTGTCCTGTTATTATTGTTGTTGTGTGCCTTTCTGAGAGTGACTGATAGTTTGAAACACCAATTTTGCAGATAGCAGCTCAGTGTTTATCCTACAGGGCCACACAAAAAACTGTTCAATTGTTTATTCTATATGTTAAAGACATTCATTAGACATTCCAAATGAAAATTTTAGAATGACCTTTAACTTGTTCCTCTTTTCAACCTTCTCTATTTCTATCGTCTAAATTCATATTTTCATTGCATCTTGTTTTACATCTGTATATATTTTTCTGCTTCTAGTTTCTGGTTTACTCCTATCCATAATTCCATATTTGTACTATATCATTTAGAAATTACAGATTTGAACTTGTCTCTCCCACTCAAAAAGCATCTATTCCTCCTCACTATCTACAGAAGTAGGGAGTCCTGGTGTGGAACTGTGGTTTAATGCACTGGATTGCAAACTTGGTTTGAGCAGCAAGGTCAGCAGTTCAAACACACCAGCTGCTCCTTGGTCACTATGGGTTGGAACCAGCAGTTCAAACTCACCAACTGCTCCTATGCAGGGTCACTATGGGTTGGAACCTACTCAACGGCACTTAACAACAAGAACAGAAAGCCTGACTTTAAATTACCCGTCTAATTCGCATTCCATAGTTCTTTCTGCCTGAAGAACAAACAAATCTGTCTTGGAGGATGTACAACCAGAAAGCGCCTTGGAAACCAAGATGGCCAGACTTCTTCTCTCATATTTTGGAAATATTATCAGGAGGGACCAGTGAAGGTTATCATACTTGGTAAAGTTGAGGGTCAGTGAAAAAGAGGGAGACTCCCAAACGAGATGGGTTGAAACAATGGCAGTAGCAATGGCTCAACCATAGCAGCAGTTGTGAGGATGGTATAGGACCGGGCAATGTTTCATTCTGTTGTACATAGGGTTGCTATGGTTTGGAACTAACTCAATGACACCTAACAACAACAACTATTAATTATTTATGGTTATTCATAATTATTCATCAGATGTACTGCCTGGTATAGCGCTGTATGATAAACACTAAACCATACAGTTGGTTTGAACTGCAAGGTTGTTGTTGTTAATGTGCCATGGAGTCAGTTCCTACTCATAGTGACCTTTTACAGGGTTTTTGAGGCTGTAAATCTTTACAGGAGCAGAAAGCCTCATCTTTCTCCTGTGGAACAGCTGGTAATTTCGAACTGCTGACTGTGAGATCAGCAGCCCTATTCGTAACCACTACGCTAGCAGAACTCCGTGAACTGCAAGGTAGTCCGTTCAAACGCATCAGCCATTCCTGAGAAACTCTATACAGTATCGCTATGAATCAGAAGCTACTTGCTAGCACTTCACAACAACTTCCTTCTTAGATTCTCTATTTTAAAATACAAATTTTAGTAATTTCTAAACCTGATCGATGATCACAATCATCTTTTTTAAAATGTTAGCTTGCAAGCCCACCATCCAAGAGCTAAGCTCTGAGATAAGTCCATTGATTTCTACTTAAATCATCTTTGAGAACCACTGATTTAAACTGCTCCCTGTGTCCTCAAGGAATGTGCATTCAGATACATTATTTGGAGGGTGGGGTAAGGATTGTTTTCATGTAAATATAGAGCAAAGGTGAACTGTCTAGAGAGAATTACTTTTCATTAATGAAGGGCTGAAACAATGAATACATTAGTTAGACATTTTCAAATGAAAATACAAAATGCACTCCAAAGTAAAATGAACCCCATGTCCGCAGACCCATTCCATTAGTCCAGAGTACACAAAGACTACAAATGACAGCAATATTCTACCATGTCTCACTTTCAGATGATCCTGTATTACAGAATGCAATAAGGAAAAAAAAGATATATTCAAAATGAATAAATAAGGACTATCAACCCTAGTTCACTGTGACATAAGCCAGTCACAAATTGAAACACGTAATTTTCTATCTTTCAGATCAAGTATTCCCATCCTTAAATTTGTTTTTTGGTTGTTGGTTTTTTGTTTTTTGTTTTTTTGTTTTTGCTAGAGAATACCATCTGCATAGTTATAGTTTCCAAAACAAAGATTAAGAAAGATAAATTACTAATGAAGTCACCGAACTACTGTGGCTTGCTTTCTGAAGCATTTGGTGACTTCAACAGTTATTACTATTATTTTAACTAGTGAGAAGTCACATCAAAAGATGATACAGAATCCAACCCAAAAAGATTGGACCCCAAATGGAATTGCTCAAACTACTGATCTAAAATGCTCAAAATGCATCCTCTTCATTTGCCTTCCCCCAATGGACCATTATCTATTAGTTAAAAAGGAAAACTCAGAAACTGAAGCTCTCCAAGGTTGCTATTTTTATTTTCTTAGAAACCCTGAGAACATGAGCTCTGTATATAATGTACAGGTATGCTGCCGAATCTGCTGTCTGCCCTTGTGTTGGCTCTGACTCACAGCGACCCTCTATAGGCTTTCTGCTCCCGTAAAGATTTACAGCCTTGGAAATCCTGTTCAGGGTCACTATGGGTTGGAACCAACTCAATGGCACTTATCAACAACAACATTTCCGAGGCTGCAAATCATTATGGGAGCAGTAAGCCTCATCTTTCTCTCAAGAAGCGCCTGGTGTATTTGAACAGCGGACTTTGTGGTTAACAGCCTAGTACATAAATCACTACGCTACCAGCGTTCCTTAATATAAAAATATTGTTGTTGTTATACTATTGAGTAGGTTCTGACTCATAGCGACCTTATATCAGATTTCTTAGGAGTGGCTGGTGGTTTTGAACCGCTGACCTTTGAACAGCTGACCTTTGGCCTTTTTGAGCCACTGGCTAGCAAGCAGTGCTTATCTCACAGTGCTACATCAGGATTCCAATATATAGGTATAGCCCACTCGTGGTTCTGTTGGATAAGCATTTGACAAGATAGCTCTGTTTGAATTCTAGGTCAGTGGTTCAATCTTAGCAGCTGCTCCTCAGAAACACAATACAGGGTCACTATGGGTCCAAACCCACTCAACAGCACTTAATAACAACAACAACATTAAGTACTTGTAGTCCTAGTAAGAGCATGGTGGCTACATACCATAAACACTGGATTACAAACTACAAATTCTGTGGTTCGAGTCTACCATCTGCTCTGCAGGAGAAAGAAGAGGCTTTCTGCTCCCACAAAGCTTTACAGCTTCAGAAACTCTAGTCAGGGTCTGTATGAGTTTGAGCCAACTCAATGGCAATTAACAAGTCCTGGTGTGGCATTATAGGATAGGCACTGGACTGCTAATCACAAGGTCAGCAATTCAAACCCACCAACCACTCCTTAGAAACCCTCTAAAGAGTTCACTATGAGTCAGAACAGACTTGACAGCACTTTACAACACCACCGAAAAAAAAATTTATTTTATAGAATTTACGTAGAAATCTTTTCTCTTTTCAATCCTGCCCCACCCTACCCCCCGTATTCTCTCTCTCTCTCTCTCTCACACACACACACACATGTGCACACACATACACACACAATATCAGCAAACCTGGTATGTGCCATCTGGATAATTCGCACTAGAGGTAAATGGCGTTGAAACCTGTCTATCTCTGTGTTTTAGATTTACCTTTCATCCTATTTTAGTACATGTCTCTTTGAAAACCACCTAATCTTTCTGAGCTACATTTGGTCTTCTTTGAATGATGAAAAAGATACATGCAGAAAATCTGTGATTCTAAGAATTCTCAAGTATATAGAGCCATGTGGAACTGAAATCTCTTTTTGGTTCCCACATGTTAAAAAGAAAGATGTTTTCTCTCAGTGAACAGATCCATTCAATAAAAGTAATTTCCCCAAGGCTTTCACAGTCTCTGATACAGCACGACTACCTCTTTATAGCAAAATAAGAATTGAGAAAAAAGCATCGGGGTGCACCTCCCTGCCTGCCACCTTCATCACCACCATCATGTGCACACACACAGCTCTTTCCATGAAAGGAGGCAGTGAGGCACTGAAAAACAATCTCATGACAAATCATTTAAATATTTTTAAAAATTCATTTTAAATTGATTTAAATGGCAGGAAATTTCAATTTACTTTCTTCTCATTTTACAGCAAAAAGAGACAGAGAATGTGTGTGTGAGAGAGGGGGAATTTCAGGGTTATCATGAGAAGCACAGAGAGACGAGAGACGCGAGGCTGCTACATATAATTTCCACCTCCTGAGTCATTCCACTCCATTAGCACAGCTAATGTCACATGACCAAAAATATGTAAAATGTGAATACCTTATACAATAATAACTATTTTAAATTGCCACTGGCCTATCATCACAAAGCCACTAAAACCCAAGAAAAATCCATCTTAACAGCAATTATTTTGTTTTGTAGCTTACTCCTCACATTCATACTAAGTGGGGGGGATGGTGGTGGTGGTGGCTGTGGTGAATAGGGTCTGCTCTATGCACTATCGTTTCAAGTCTATTAAACATATCACAAAAGACTTCTATTCATATGGGAGAAATTACTTATTTTTTTCTAAAAAAGAAAAGCAAACCAATACCACTAGCGTTGGTAGGAATTATTCAAAAGGGCTCAGGATGTTGGTGTGCCTAGGAGGCTGCTATCAGAAAGCTTAGCCTTAGGCTTTGGCCGAGCTACTGCCATGTTAATCTGCCTCATTACATCTCTATAATTTGTTCCGTTCATTAAGGAACAGTATTCTCCTGTGAGAATAAGACTATCTTTCAAATGGTAAGTTTTACTTTAAAAGGTAAATAAATATAGCCACAGATGGATGCTAAAAGCTGGAAAGCTACTGAAATATTGAAATGCCACATGTCCGTCAGATCTCATTTCAGCCTTGGACGATTCAGAAATGCAGAACAGATAGGATTAGGGCTTTTTTTTAGATCTGAATCCACGTTTACAAAGCATGTGTCTTATTGTTAACGTCATTATTAACATAGATAAAAATGTATTGGCAGGTCAAAGGTAGAATCAGATCGCTTACCTGAAATCAAGGAAATTGCAAATCATAGCACAGAATCCATATATGTGTTGATTGCCTCCAATGCAGTTCTTCAGGTTTTTGACTAGAGCAGAAAGTAAAATCTCACATGTGCTTTCTCCTCGCTGAATAAGGAAAAACAAGAAATGACGACTGCAGCATCCTCTCTGCTTCTGCCTTAGCTTTCGATTCTGACACTCACTGATGGTACCCACTATCTGTTAGAAAACAGCGTGCTACATTAAAATAAATAAATAAATGTAAGGCATCCTCTTACATGACAGCTCCATCTCCTGGCCAAAAGTGGAACCATTTTAATTCAAGTTCTTTAGGCAATGCAGCATTTAGTAAACGGGATACAATGATAGCTCACAATCGCACTGCATTTGAAATCAACTACCTTGATTAGTTGCAAATAAAACATTTAAGAAGCATAGTGGTGGTGGTGGTGTTCCATGAATTTGGTTCCGACTCACAGTGACCCTGTACAGGGTTTTCGAGGCTGTAAATCTTTACGGGAGCAGAAAGCCTCATCTTTTTCCTGACGAACAGCTGGTACTTTCGAGCTGCTCACCTTGAGGTTAGCAGTCCAATTCATAACCACCACGCTACCAGAGCTCCTTAAGAAGTGTTTGTTGTTGTTGTTAAGTGCAGTTGAGTTGAGTCCAACTCATAGCGACCCTGCATAGGGTTTCCGAGGAGTAGCTGGTGAGCTTGAACCGCTGACCTTGCAGTTCAAACGGCTTTGCAGCCTGGCACATTAACCTACAGCGCCACATCAGGACTCCTAAGAAATATAGTAGGATGCATTAAAATTTTTTTTTTAAATACTACATTTGGGATGCCCATGAGCTGGAATCAACTCAATGGCAACTAATAACAACTTCATTTACATTGTCACAACTTGTCTGTGCTGGTTTGCATATTGCTGTGTTCCTGGAAGTTTTGTCACTAGTATTTCATATAATAGTAGGGTCATTTATGGTGGACAGATTTCAGTGGAACTTAATGACTTAGAAGAAAGACCTGGAAATCTAGTTATAAAAAATTAATTGGCTGGCAAAGTTCATATAAATAGCAGCAAACCATAGTCTGATATAATGTTGTAAATTGAGCCCCTTGGGTTGGAAGGCACTCAAAATGCAACTAGGGCAGACCAGTCTCCTTAAAGCAAAATTGACCTTAATGGCATGAATAGAGTGAAGCTTTCAAGACCTTCATTTACTGATGTGGCATAATTTAAAATAAAAAGAAATAGCTGCAAGCCTACATTAATAATCAGAATGTGTAACATACAAAGTCTGAACTTAAAAAAATTCCAATCTATCACAGATTTAATGGAATGCTTGAAGATAGATATTCTAGACATATGTGGGTTGAAATGAACTGATATTGCCCATTTGAATCAAACAATCATATGATCTACTGGGAATGAAAACTTGAAGAGGAATAATGTGGCATTTATTGTCAAAAAGAACATTTCAAGATCTATCCTGAAGTTCAATGCTGTCAGTCATAGTATAATATCCATACACCTATGGTGGAGTCCTGATGTGGCGCTGTGGGTTAATGTGCCAGAATGAAAAGCCATTTGAACTGCAAGGTTGGCAGTTCAAGCTCACCAGCTGCTCCTAGGAAACCCTATACAGGGTCGCTATGGGTCGGAACTGACTCGACAGCACTTCATAACAACAACACCAATGGAGGAGTAGTTAATATGAGTATTCAAATTTATACACACCAACCACTAGTGTAAAAGACATATAAATTGAGATTTTTACAAGCAGCCACAGTCTAAATTTGATCAAGCTTGCTCTCAAGACACATTGATAATTACTGGTAATTGAAAACAAAGAAGAAAGATCTCTAGTTGGAAAATATGGCCTTGGTGATAGAAATGGCACAGAAGATCATATGATACAATTTTGCAAGACCAATAATATATTTTTTTTCAACAACATAAATGGTGACTATACAGGTGGATCTAACTAGCTGCAATACACAGGAATCAAATGGACTACACATGTAGAATGATACCATGAAAAAGCTCAATATTATCAGCCAGAAGAAGGTCCAGGGCTGACTTTGGGACGAACCATAAATTACTCATATACAAGTTCAAGTTGAAGCTGAAGAGAATTAAAACATGTCCATAAGAGCCAAAGTATGACCTTGAGTATATCCCACCTAAGTTTAGAGGCAATATCAAGGAAAATTTTGATGCATTGAATACTAAAAGCCAAAGACCACACAAGTTGGAGAATGGCATAAAGGACATTGAAGAAATCAAAAGGTCATTTAAAAGATAGGACAGAAAGAAAGGATCAAAATGGATGTCCAGAGAGACTCTGAAACTTGCTTTTGAATATAGAGCAGCTGACCTGGTGTGGTGCTGTAGGATAAGCACTGGACCACAAGGCCAGATTGAACTGCAATGGTTGGCAGTTCTAATCCACCAGCCGTTCCTTGGAAACCCTATACAGGGTCGCTGAGTTGGAACCAACTAAACAAGAACAAAGGCTAAAGGAAGAAATGGTGATGCAAAAGAACTAAGCAGAAGATTTCAAAGGACAGCTTGGGGAGACAAAGTAAAGTATTACAATAAAATGTGCAAAGATCTGGAATTATAAAACCAAATGGGAAGAACATGATTGGCATTTTTCAAGCTTAAAGAACTGAAGAAAAATTCAAGCCTTGGGTTGAAGCATTGAAGGATCTGTAGGCAAAATGTTGAATATGAACATTTTGAAACATGAAACCGTAAAAGTAGAAAAACAGATACAAAGAGTCTCTGTACCAAAAATAACTGGTCAATGTTCAGCCATTTTAGGTTCTGGATAAATAATGGATAGTACAGAAGGAAGAAGTCCAAGATGCACTGAAGGGGTTGGCAAAAAGTCAGAGTTCCAGGACTTGATGGAATCCGAGTTGATGAAACACAGGATGCAATACTAGAACTGTTCACTTGTCTATGTAAAGAAATTTGGATGACCTGACTGACTGAGTGGAAGAGATATATATTTGTGCCCATTCCAAAGAAAAGTGATCTATCAGCTTTCAACAGAATATAGGAATTATTTAAAATATCATTAATAATCACACACTAATAACATTCTGCTAAAGATAATTCAGAAACAGTTGCAACAACAACCAACAAAGAACTGTCAGATATTCAAGCTGAATTCAAAAGAGGACATGGGAGAATAAGATCCCCGAGGAACTGGATTGAACCTCAGCATAGTGATCCTGCTTGGTCACCTTAGAGCAGGTGGTGGGCCCGCAAC